ATGAGCCCAATGATAAGAAACAAATAATAAATAATAAAAACAAAATTAAATTAAAATTGTAATTGTTGTAAAATTAATGTAATAAAAATTAAAAGCAGCATGCAAAAAATATAAAATTATTATTATTATAAACTAATCCAAATAACTACATAAATTACATTTACGACTTTGCTTTCTCTGCTGGAAGCCTGTAAACCTGACTTCGCAGTCTAGATTTCCAGCATAGATTCAATGTTTTTTTATACTCTATGGTTTACAATCCAATGATTATAAAGATAGAAATAATTAAATAATAGAGCGCAATTTGATCATTCCCGCGGTTATAACATTACCCCAACCTTGGCCTGTTAGTCACTAACATAAACGTTATTTCTTTATTTCAATGAATAGGGGGCTTACCTGTCCAAATGAACATTTTTCATCTTTTTCCGCTGTCTCTCATTTTCTTAAATCCTGTAAACCACGCTGCTTATTCTGTTAATAACCTTGTAAAAGCCTTCCCAATTTTTTTGGAGTTTCGGATATCGCTCTTTTCTGCGCCGGGGGTTGTACAGCCAGACTAGGTCATTTTTGTTAAACTCTGATACTACTCCTGTTGTATCTAGTTTTGGTCGTTTTTGTGTCTTTCCCCTTCTGATTCGTACGTTCCGGTAAATATTATCCAATTTTTGGCGGAGTTCTTTGACGTATTTTGTTACCGGTTTTGGAGTATCCGGCGGAACCCCGTATTTTAAGTTCGCTGACGTTTTTTAACGTAGCTCCATAAAGGATCTTGGATGGCGTTTTTGCAGTGGTGGCATGGGTGGCACTCCGATATGTGATTAGGAACAGGAGTATCTGCCGGTTCCAGTCTTGTTGGTTCTCTTTAACAACCTTGCCCAGGTGCTTGATGATGGTTTGATTGAAGCGCTTCACCGTTCCGTCGAAATGTAGATGGAGTGGTGTTGTTCGGGTTTTATTGATTCCTAAAACTTGGCACATTTTCCCAAATGATTGCGTTTTAAAGGTGGCAGTTCAAAATAAATATTGCCTTGATCTTGCCTTGATCTAAATGTACTTCCCTAGAGACGCCGTAACGACTTAGCAAGTTCATCACGATTCTTCCTGCAATCGTGTGGACTTCCTGGTTGGGTATTGGGCAAAGATCCGCCATTTGCTGATGCAATCAACGACGACCAAGATGTACCGATCATTCTTGTTTGATTCAGGGTACAGTCTTGCAATTTCTGCTGCAATTTTTTCAAAAGAAACGCCGAAATTGTAGACCTGCATGAGTCCACGGAGTCTCTTTTTGCGCCCTTTTACTGCCAATTCCGGCCCCAACTCTCTACGTTTTCTTGGACGCAAACCCAATTAAACTTCTTTCAAATCCGATCTAGCGTTTTGTTGATCCATTCCCAGGTGACCTCTAGACGGCCCACCGTGCATTTCTTTGAGAGCATCACTTGTTTTGTTCCTGGATATCACTGTTTGCATGATGTGGTTGGATCCGTCTGCGGATTCCCATTTACGCTTAAAAGTTTCGTCATTTAGATGTAGTGAGTTTTATTGGGCCAGTAGTATTTCTACATGGGACCGTGTTCCGAGATGTCTTGCCAGTTTGGTCTCTGATAGGTTTTCTTCCACATAATGACGCTTTGTAGATGCTCATCAGTGCGGCAGCCAGTTTTAGGGACTTTCATTCACCGTCTGTTGTTAAAAAAATTTCTCTTACATTTTCCGGTTGTGCTTTCTCCTCCGCTCGGCGTTGTTGTGGTTGGTGCTTAACCTCAAAATGGTATGTCTGTAGACTTTCCATCTAACAGGCTACTTGTCTTTCTGATTTCTTAAAGTTGAGCAGCCATTTTAGAGCTGCATGGTCTGTACGGAGGACAAATTTTTGTGCTTTATCGCACATACCCTGTCCAACAGCTCCTTTCTTGTTACGCAGTAGTTGCCTTCCGGCTTTGAAAGTTCCTGCTATAATAAGCCAGCATTCATTCATTCCCATTTATGTCCTATGACAGAACGGCTCCTATTTCGCTTTTACTGGCATCTGTGTCGAGGGTGAATGTTTTTCCTTTAATCGGGTAAATAATAATGAGGTGGTACATAGCTGTTCTTTTAACCGTACAAATGTTGTTGCAACGGAGTCATCCCATACGAACACTTGGTTCTTTTTTGTTTGTTTGTGTAATGGCTTCTCGAAAATCTTTGACGAACTCTCGGTAATAGGTAGTTAGCCCAAAAAAAGAACGTTTTTTATGTGTATCTTTAGGTACTGGCCAGTTTCTTACTACATCAATTTTGCAGTTACCCGTTTTTATATCTTTTGATGATATCAATTGTCCAAGGTAATTCATTTCCTTTGAGAAAAACATGCATTTCTTTTTAATCAGGTTGATATTTGCTGCACGAAGTTTGAAAAATACTTCTTGCAAGCTTGCAAGGTGCTGATCAAAAGAACTTCCTAAACAAAAATATCGTCTAGGTAGACAAAGCAGGTTTTCCACGTCAGTCCCCTTAAAACGTATTCCATCAGTCGTTTAAATGTGGCCGGGGCATTACATAACACGAATGGCATCACTATAAATTGCCACAGACCTTTTCCCAGTGAAAAAGCTGTTTTCTCTCCGTCATTCTTTTCAATCTTGACCTGCCAGTACCCGATTTTCATATCCAAAGTCGAAAACCACAGAAAACCGGATAAGGTATCCATTATATTGTCAATCCTTCTTAGCAGATAATTATCTTTCTTGGTGGTCGCGTTTAGTATTCTGTAGTCCACTCAAAAGCGTTTACTACCATTCTTCTTTTTAACTGAAACAACTGGAGATGTCCAGGGACTTGCCCATGCATAGGGCCTTGCTTTTTCATCGTGGAAATCATTTCATCGGCTTCTACCTGCTTTGATAGTGAAAAGCGTTGTAGAACTTGTCTGATGGGTTCGGAATTTTGAGTGTCTCTACTGTGATATACTTGGCCTGTTCTTTCTTGGTCGTTGTTGCCGGTCGAGAATATATGCGAATAATTGGCCAACAGTGTTTCGGTCTTCCTTCGCTCTTCCTTAGTGAGAATTGTTTTGTCCAATAGGTTTTTCCTTCCCGTTCCGTAGTTCCACGTCAAAGTCTCTTATAGTTTTTATTAGCTGGGCGTTGCTAATCATTCTGCCATTCTTTATTTTTATTGGGTTTTTCGATACATTCATTCCCTGGATCGGAATTCTGCTATTTTCGTTGACCTCTACCAGGCAACATTGATATTTAATATTTTGAACGTCGGAGTAGGTCAATTTGTCGGCTGTTACATTCACTGTTTTTCAGTTTTGCCCAAAAGATGTTTTCTGACAGACTTGGTATTACCATACTCCCATCCCCATCGACCGTTACCTGGGTACATATTGGCTGACTGTTTCCTATCACCATTTCGTGTTTTTAAATTTTAAGATTCTTTATCCAGATTTCGGTAGAAACCGTACTTCATCCTCAAATCGAGGTTCAAGATGCATTCATCAGTAATGTCTGCCAACAAAAAAGTGCCTTCCTTTAAAACACCAAATCTCACACCTCTAAGTGCAAGATACTTCCCCGTACACAGGCGCTGTTTCTCCAGTGGCAGTTCAAAATAAATACTTGCAAGATTACTAACGCACCCAACAGGTATCCCTAAATTCAGAGACAGAACGGCAACAAAAGCGTTTATTCAACCCAATGAAACCCAAACATTAGTTATGATTTTACAATATCAAAAATAGAAACACTTAAAAAAATCCTGAAGCAGTATGTGACACTAGAATCTGCAAAGCAGATGTTGAAGAAAAACACAAGAATACGGCAAATCCACGAAGAGAATGGGAGAATATGTGTTGAAAAGTTGTCTCAACAACAGGAGACTACAAACCACCAGAATGCTGGAACTGTGAAAAAAGACATATCAGGAAGTATTGTAAGAGGCCCTGGAGAAGTAACGCCTATCAAATGGACGATATGGGAAAAACCGACTTACGAAAAGATGCCAGCCCCATGTTTGGAACGTCTGTAGCTAACACGTCGAAAAGCTAACTTTGCGAGGCCCAAGTTGGCTGGAAAAACAAACGCCCAGCAGTTTTATTTATATCTCCAAGCTGCATCATGACCAAGATGATCTCTAGGTGAAAGGAAAGATAGACCTACGCGAAGGTTCAATTACCATCGATACAGGAGTAACTAGATGAATTTTTAGACGAAATGTGTCAATGGATCTAAAACAAAAAAATCGACCAAAAATCAACGTTAAAAGCAAAAAATGATTGCCAAGCCTTATTTTGGACACACTTTCACAAATTTGCTTAGTTTCTTGGATCTTCCCATCAAAGTTATCTAAATTCGTTTCTGGATATAATGCTGGAAGTGCTTATTCTAAGATTTTTTTCCCACTGACCAAAACCACATGCTTCGTGCAACATAAATGATTTTCGCGTCCCAAAAACTACGTTAATTATTTTAATCGCTGATTAAAAATATGAAAATATTATTTAGCTAAATTACAACGTTATTGTCATAATCGATTATGTTTTATAACTTGCAATTACGAATTTTTGCGACCCGAAATTTTAGGCTGGTAAACAGATGTTACCTCGGTGCGCTATGGCTATGGCACGTCGCCTCTGCCCAAAACTTTTGGGTCCAGCTGCCTATTACAATAAGGTCTAAATGCTGGTTACTGTGAGAGTAGTTCTAGAGGTGAAATTAGTGACTGTGCATGAGTGTACATTGTAAAAAATACTACAATGCTCAGAATTCTGCATTGCCAAATTTCAGTGTTGGTTACATCAAGCCAAGAAATGTGCCTATACTGGTGACGAAGAATGCTTGCTTGACGAAATACCTTAGGCTGGTTGGTTTTCTAAATTCATGAAAACACTTACACCTCTCAGTCAGAGAATCTGAGGCGACATCTATTGCTCGGGCAATAATCAAATCAATCAATCCAAAATACTTTTTATTTACCAGAACATAACACAAACAAAAAGAAAGTTCAAATAACATTCTGGCTTGGAGACCAAGCAAGTTTAACTTTATAGGCCACCAATTAATTAAAACACATATATATATACAGATATGTAACATGAGGAGATATATAATAATAGAATAGTTCAATTTGATGAATATATATATATATATAATATATATATATATATACACACAGATATATAGCGTGAAGTTCAGAAAATAATTATAATTTAAAAAAATACATATGCATATACAGAGACATAACATGAGATTCAGACATAGTTCGAGAATTTGTTTTTAAATATATACAAAATATAAGATTATAAAAAATTATTACTCAATAGTTCTTCTAGATTATAATTGGTTTTTTAATATTAAACATTTCATGTGTTTAGTGAACAGACTTAAATTATTGAATGTACGTACACACATACATGTATTTAAGTATGTATGTATGCATGTATGTATCAAATTAAAATCAAAATCAAACATTTTGAATATCATATATATATATATATATATATATATATATATATATAACATGAGGTTGATTATAATAGTTCAATAGAATAGTTCAATTTGATGAATATATATATATAGCTGCAGATAGAATACAAGCCGGTCGAAATTCTATGCAAAATTTTGAAATAGCGCAGATAGAATACAAACTGGTCGAAATTCTATGCAAAATTTTGAAATAAACAAGAAATAGAAATAGAAAACAAAGTTGGATAGCCCATGTTTTGTAGCCAGACTAAATTAAAGAGTGCCAAGAAAATTGAAAAACGTCATGGTATTATTTACAAAAAATTGAAGGACAAATCAAGGATATTTGTTTCTGATAAATTTGGTTTAAGAATAATAAAAAAGGTACATGAATATTATGGACATATCGGAGCTGGAACATTGAAAGAGAAAATAAGACCATTTTATTATTTCAAAAACTTTGATCAACTAATTGAAGAATTTTGTAAAAGTTGCACTATATGTTTAGAAAACAAAACTAAAAGAAATAGAATCACTCCAAATTATGTCCATTGACACAGTTGGTGGATTTGCCGGTAATAGGTCACCAAAGAAATATATGCATATTTTGGTAGATCATTTTAGTAGATATGTTTGGATCTCCACTGCAAAAAGCAGCAGATTTCATAAAAGTTAATTGACCCGATTGCTAAGAAAAATAATATTAAAATACTTTTAGCCGACCAGTACACCGGAATTAATTCTACAGAACTAAAGCAGTATCTAAACAAGATGAATATTCAAGTGGTTTTTACATGCGTAGATTGCCCTCAATCATATGAACTAAATGAAAGACTAAAGACTAAACCAAACACTTGTAAACAGAATAAGATGTAAACTTAACAGTGGAGAAAAACAGGCATGGTCCGTTATTGCAGACGAATGCGTCAAAGAATACAATCGGACAATTCATAGTTCCACGAAATTTGAACCAGAACACTTATTATACGGCATAAAGTCAACTATCACTCCATATGACTTACCGGAAAGCGATTTAGCTGCAGATAGAATACAAGCCGGTCGAAATTCTATGCAAAATTTTGAAATAAACAAAAAAAGGGTTGACAAAATCGTCAAGAGTACGAATTTGAAGTGGGCAATCAAGTCTATATCCAGAATGGGAGTAAACTTAATAGAGGTAAAATGGACAGAATAAGAGTTGGTCCGTTTAAAATTCTTAGCAAGATTTCACCGTCGATCTTCGAAGTAGACTGCGGAAAAAAGAAGAAGGAATCACATTTTTTTCACATTAATAAATTGTCACTTTATGTACCTCAAAAAGTGACTTGAGGGAGAGAGATGTAAATCATATTTCATATAATTATCTATGTTTAGGTATTCTTTGAATTTCTATTCTATGCTTGTAAATTATGTTTCATTACTTTGGTATTATCTTATATATAAATGCAAATAGCACGAGGTTATATTTTATTATTGCACGTGGTTATATTTTATTATTGTTGGCTTTGTAAACAATCCTGGAATTTATTTTTTCTATTTTAGGTTGGTTATTCATTTATAATTTCTGTAATATTTTCAATTGATTTTATTTACGTTTTTTATTCACTCATTTAGACTTTCTATTTTATTTCTATTTTTATTCGAAAGCAAACTTATAAGGGTTGACAAAAATCGTCAAGAGTACGAATTTGAAGTGGGCAATCAAGCCTATATCCAGAATGGGAGTAAACTTAATAGAGGTAAAATGGACATGGTAGAGTCGCCACCCTCCTTTGAAAATAATACTATATCTTTTAAGTGCTTACACTTGAAATATTTAAATGGAATTGAAAAGTTAAATAATGGTGAAAGTAGAAAATTTATGAAACGATTGGAGACGATGTGATATATTGTTGTGGAAAAACATTTGAGTGGCATAGTGAATGGAAACAATATACATATTACACGCGCACACACACACACACGCACGCACACAAGAGTCCCGATGAAAGTTAAAATGAAGAAGATGTAAAACTGTTTACTCATCTGACGCTTGAGAACATGTTCAAAGGAGATTCGTGTATCTTATCAGTCTTATATTTTGGAAAGACACTCCAGAACCTCAGCGTTTCATCTCCAGCAAATTTTGGTTCAATTCATACTTGTTTGGTAGAACTCAGCAGGTTTTTTTCTGGAACAAATTATCTGGTATTGAAGCAATGTCATCCGGTGTACCACAAGGCTCAGTCCTGGGACCTATTCTGTTTGTACTGTACACTGCTGAAGTATATGAAGTAATAGAATCTTTTGGATTTTCATATCATGCGTACGCCGATAACATTCAAATAATAGTTAGCAGTGAACCAGAACTGTTTGAAAGTAAAGTTGAAAATCTCATTGAATGCTTGACTAAAATAGATACATGGATGTCAAGAAATTGTCTCAAATTGAATTAAGATAAAACTCAATTTTTACCTGTCGGTACATGGCAACAGCTTTCTAAAATTAATATTAATTCAGTCAAAATTGTTAATAATGAAATACAATTCTGTGAAAATGCAACAAACCTAGGGTGTATTTTTGACTCGAGATTATCTTTCAAAGATCATATAAAAACCATATCTAAATCATGTTCTTATCAGCTTTGCCAGTTATACCGCGTTCGAAAATATTCACATCAATCAACCATGCAAACACTAATTCATGCGTTTGTTTATTTACGGTTAGACTACTGTAATAGCTTGTTCAATGAATTACCAGAGATATCTATTGCTTTTCTTCAATCGATACAGAATAGAGCTGCAAAAATAACTGTTGGACGTAGAAAGTATGACCATGAGACACCCATTTTGAGAGACCTACATTGGCTAACAGTGAAAAAAAGAATCAACTATAAGATTTGTGTGACTGTGTATAAAGCTTTGAACGGGTTGTTACCAGTATATCTATTAAATAAAATCTTAAAAAAACCAGCTTCTTCAACAGGTGTAAAATTGAGATCAGACTATACCAACCTACTGGCAGTGACAACTACTCAACTACAAACTGCAACTAGAAATATTGCCGTGTCAGGACCAATTGCCTGGAACAGTCTTCCGCAATCGCTCAGAATGCCTGGACTAAAGCTTAATGATTTTAATAGGAACAATAAAACATATTTATTTTGAAATAGAAATACTTTATTGATTTGTACTTTATTGACCTTCACTGATTTCATTTATAATAGAGAGCGCTTTCGAGAAATTTCAATTTTATAATGCGCTTAATAAATTGTTGATAATATATATATATATATATATATATATATATATATATATATAGCGTGAAGTTCAGAAAATAATTATAATTAAAAAAAATACATATACATATACACAGACATAACATGAGGTACAGACATAGTTCGAGAATATGTTTGATTAGAAAAAATTATTACTCAATAGTTCTTCTAGATTATAATTGGTTTACTAATAATAAAAATTTCATGTTTTAAGTGTAAAACTTAAACTTTCAGGCTTAAATTATTGAACAATTTGAATTTTACGGGTAAATTATTCTACAAAGATATCCCTATTGAGAAAATGGAAGACTTTAATATCATCAATCTAGGATAAGGTTGTTGATAATCTTTATATTGCCTTAAGTTTTTATGATTAAGACAAGGAGTTTGAAAAAATTTCAAAATGTTTTGAGGTATTAATTTTTTATGAACTTTATACATAAATTTGAATAAGAAAAGTTTAAAAATTTGATTTAAATTAAGGATTTTTCCTTTTTTAAAATATTGAGAAATATTTTCTCTTTTTCTTATTAAAAAAAGGCATCTTATAAAATAATTATATGCTAAGCGTGAATGATTTAGATGAGAAAATGCACTATTTCCCCATAAAATTACACCATAAGTCAGATATGGATATATTAGGCTGAAATAAATTTTGTTAGTGATATCTAAAGTTTGTTTATATCTTATTTTGAAAAGCATTCCAGTTATTTTGGAAATTTTGCTTGATATATGGACTATATGATCTAGCCAGTTGTCAGTTATCATAAATCCTAGAAATTTATTTACCGATACTCTTTCTATGGCATTATTATTAATATGTTAGTTTACGGGTAAATGTTATTTTTAATGTTAGTTTTAATGTTATTGGTTACAATTTTAGACTCAAATATCATAAAATTTGTTTTTTTATAATTTATAGATAGATGATGCAAATTAAACCAATTATGAATTTTGGTTAATTCATTATTCATATTAACTGTAACTTTTTTTTATATTTTTACCAGTACATTAAAAAGTGGTATCATCCGCGAACAATATGGTCTTCAACAAACTACTACTTTTGGACAAGTCATTAACAAATATATTAAATAATAACGGGCCCAGGACTAAACCCTGTGGAACACCGTATTTAACAATCACGTTTACCTATTTGTTACCGTCAATTTAGACATATTGACGGCGACTTTTCAAATAACTTTCAAACCATGTATAAGAAAAACCACGTATTCCAATACAACTCAGTTTTTTTAATAATATATCATGGTTAATCGAGTCGAACGCCTTACTTAGGTCTAGAAACACACCAATCGTGATGCATTTGTTCTCCATATTATTCAAAATACTTTCCCTAATGTCCAACAGAGCAGGCTCAGTGGATCGATTTTTCTGAAAACCATATTATGACTCGGTAAAAAATTTAAATGATTCAAGTGGTTCCGAAGACGAATAGACATTATTTTCTCTAAAATTGTTGACAGTACTGGCCTATAATTTGACAATACATTTCTGTCACCATTTTTATATAAAGGAATAACTTTGGCAATTTTAAAATGGTCTGGGAATATGCCATTTCCAAAAGACAGATTAAAAATATGTTTTAATGAAAGGGGAATATTGTGGATTGTGTTTTTTATTAAAAAAGAAGAAATCCATCGTGCCCAGTGGAGTGAGAATTTTTCATTTCATAACACATTTTAATATTTCAGAATCATTAATCTCTTTTTGATAAAAAGAATTTGGATTTGATTGGGATGATAACAATGAGTATGGAATGACAGATATTTTTGTAAATTTGTCATCAACAGTCACACAAGAGGAGAAATATTCGTTGAACACTTCGCATATTTCTTTAGGTTTATTTATAATGTAATTATTACAATTAATTTTCACTATTTCATGTTTATTGCTATGAGTTTTCATTATTCTATTTATGCTTTGCCAAACTTTTTTAGTGTAATTGATTTAAAAGCGAATTTTGAGGAATATCTTGCTATTCGTATATTGAAATATAAAGAGGAGGTATCACTACTGGCTGTTTACCGTAATCCCAGATCCAGTTCAGATAATAATAAAGGTTTATTGTGTCTGATTAAGGAATTTATAGGCAAAGGAGGTAAGAAATTAATTGTAGGTGACTTCAATGTCCCGTCTATAGACTGGAAGTCTGTTTCAACTTCTGGAGGTGTCAAGTCCTTTCAGAGAAAATTCATTGATTGTATAAATCACTGTTTTTTGTATCAATGTATTGATTTTTCTACCAGGTTCAGAAACCAGCAAAAGCAAAACATATTGGATTTGCTTTTTGTTCAGGAAAAAAATATAGTTCATGATATTAAGGTAAAAGTGATCACATAATGATAAGCTTCTCATGTTTAGTTAGATGGAAAAAAAATAAACAGTCAATTAAGCGTTTTGATTTTAAAAAGGAATTATGTGGCAATGAATCAATTTGAAGCAAATTTATCTCATGCATTAATGGATATGATAAAAGTTAGTGACAATAGCAAACAATCAATAATTAATGGGATTTGGGATAGGTTTGTTTCTGTTATTGAAGGTGCTATTAATAAATTTGTACCAGTAAAGTATATAAATGAAAATGAAAAAAAAAATTTCCTCAAACTACCAAATTTTGTTTTAAATTCAATAAGAAAAAAAAATTTATTATGGAAAAAGTTCATTAAGTACAGGGATAATAAGATATTTGATGATTTTAAGAAGGTGAGAAATAAAATTAAAAAAGAGACATCAAGTTAATAAAGATTAATTATTTAAATAATTTGGGTAAATTGGTTAAAATTCAATTAATCAAACTTCGTTTTGCGTCCAGAGTCCCGGTTCCCCGAGGTAGGACGTTATTTTCTTTGCCATCAACTTTTGGCGCCAAATTAGACGATCAGTTGTATCCATTTCATTTAAATTTAGAGCTTTTATGTCTTGCTCGATTGTTTGCGACCAGGACTTCTTTAGATGGCCTTTGGGACGTGTGCCAGGTGGTGTTGTCGGCATTCGTCTTTTATATCATCTAAACCAGCACGACGCAGGATTTCGGTGGATTTGATGTGGTCATTCAGACTAATTCATTGCATCCATCGGAGCATTTTCATGTCGGTTCGTTGAAGTTGTTGTTTCAGTTTGGTTGTCATTGGCCATGTTTCTGCACCAAATAACAACACAGGACGTATCACAGATTTATAAAGTCTTGATCGTAGTGGTAGTGGGATGTCACGCCGCATGAATATAGAGGCAAGGAGATGCCATTTATTCCAGGCTGCACGTATGCGTGCTCGAACGGCAGCTTCAGCTGTTTCAGTACAATCCAGAACATCACCTAGATATTGAAACGATGTGACTTTCTCTACCTTAATGGCTTCAAAAACAGTGCTATTTCGAATTTGTTGTTGTGGATTGATGCAAGCAGGACAAACAAAATTGGACACTTTAGATAAAATACCAATTATATTTGAATAACGTTTGTGACACCACTGGTTACACTGCTGACACTTGATTGAATTTTTACCTAAACCAGCTTTACAAACTGAACAGGGCCATCGTCCAGTAGCTGTGGATTGGATGGGTTCACCAGTGTTCATTGCTTTGGTTTTGCTGATGTTGACTTTGAATCCATGATCGGCGAATCTGGTATTCCAATCTTTAAGCATCGTGCTACATTCTGCTCAGACGTGGCTGTTAAAACGGTATCATCAGCATATACTAGATTCCAAATGTCACCAGTGCGTATCGGTTTTGTGATTTCTTCCATCGCAGTTACAAATAACTGTGGACTGAGAATCAAGTTTTGGTGAACTCCAACGCCGATGTCAAATGCATCTGTGTTTTCAACTGTTGTGCTGACAAGAGTGTTAGTATTCGTATACATTTCCATCACAAGTCGAACAAGATATTCCGGAATGAGTTGTCGACGTAGACTCCACCTGATTGCTTCACGGGGAACTCGATCAAATGCTTTTTCAAGGTCTACAAAAATGTGTAATAGTTGTTGATGCTTTGCGAGGTACTTCTCTTGCAATTGCCGAAGGATGTGAATTGCATCAATTGTTGATTTCCCCGCTAGGAAACCAAATTGATAATTTCCGGTTGTGATGCACGACGTTAATCTTTTCTCAATGAATTTTTCGACAATTTTCAGGGAGAAATCTAACGGATGTATACCCCGATATGATGAACAGTTTTATGGATCACCTTTGCCTTTGTATAGCGGAACTGTTCCATTCAGTCGGCATTGAGCTATTTCTCCAGATTTCACGGCAAAGTTGTAGTAACGTTTGGATACCTGCAGTACCAGATGCTTTGGTAATGTCATTTGTAAGTCCCAATGGCACTGCTGCCTTTCCATCCTTCATAGCTTTCAGAGCTTCTTTAAGTTCCTCAACAGTGATGTCTGAAATCGGACCTTCAATGAGTGGAGCGTCAAAGTTAACATTGATGGGATTTGTTTCGTTTAACAGACGGTTGAAGTATTCTCTCCACTGTAGCTTGATCTCATCTTGCTCAAGAACCATCTCATTCTTGTCGTTTTTTATATATGAGACACCAACTATGTCTTTTTTCGTACGCTTTGCTTGTTTTGCTATACGATAGAGATTTCATTTTTTCACCTTTGCTTTTAGTGAGCCACTCTCTGCACTGATCTGTCCGAGCCAGTGCAACTTGACGTCTTGCATAGTTGTTCTTTCTAAGGAAAATTTTATGGTCATCAACAGACTTTGATTTTTGCCATTGCTTGTATGCAACTTTCTTTTCAGCTATTGCATTTTGTACACTGTCATTCCACCACCAAGTGTCCCGTTCATGCTAACGTTTGACTTGCGATTGGTGGTCTAACCGTGTGGCTACAATCTGTTGAAATTTTTCTCGATGAATATTGCTTTTCAGCTTCCACGTTTGATTCTCCGAGGCATTTGTTTAAACTTATGTTTTGACAGTTCGACAACCTGGTCTGCAACATGGAGTCTATGTTGGGCAACACATGATTCGCCAGGTATAACTTTGACATTTTTGAATAACCTTCGGTGTTGTTGCTTGACAGCGAAGAAATCAATTTGCGTGGCTGATGGTCCACTTTTGTATGTTATGAGATGTTCCAACCTCTTTCTAAAATATGTGTTCAGTAAACAAAACCCGTGACTTTCAGCAAACTCAAGGATGCGTTGCCATTTTCATTTCGTTCTCCATAGCCAAAACCGCCATGTACGTTGTCAAAACTATCTGTTTTCTCTCCAACGTGGCCATTGAGATCGCTTCCAATCAGGATTGTTTCAGATTTTGGTATTGTTGAGATGGTGTGAGAGAATGCAGCCCAGAAGTCGTTTTTCATCTTTTCTGATTCGCCTGTCTGTGGTGCGTATGCAGAAAAAATAATCAATGTTTGCTTTTCTATGCGAAGCTTGATCCACATGAGACGTGAACTAATCCTTTTAATATCCAGTACTTCTTGGGCTAGCGGTTCTCTGACAAATATTACAACACCATTTTTGGCAGTCTTTTGACCATTCCAGAATAGTTTATATTTTTTTTTTGTCTGAGTTGACATGACAGACACCATTCGATTTCCATCGGGTTTCCTGAAGGCAGCAGATGTCAATCCTTCTACGCTCGAGCATTTTTGCAATTTTCATGCTGCGGCCAGTCAGTGATCCAACAGAAAGCAATAAATAGAGGTTTATAAAATACACAGACACCTCCATAAGAAGAATGAGAAAATGAGAAAAAAAAAAGCAGTAAATAGAGATTTATAAAATACCCAAACACCTCCATAAGAAGAATGAGAAGATGAGAGAAAATCTTCTGGAGGTCTAGAAAGTTCAAGAAGGCTGTAACCATCAGGAGTAGCAAAAATAAGAGAGGGAGAGTAAGAGTCCTTGTGCCAAGTTTCAGTAAGACAAAAAATAAGGTAAGGAGGAAGAGCTTATTTGATGAATATAGAGCGATTTTCATTAATCGATCTCATGTTAATTTAAGTTCGTGTTTAACATAACAACATTTAAATAATGAGCGTAGATTAAAATTCATGTGCTAATATCTGATATGTGATAATAATTTAAATGTCCAAAAAACAATAATAATATGAAATAGTACTAAAAAAATTAAAAAATAAATACAATAATAATAACAACAACAATAAAAATAAACTACAGTACCATATCTATTACAAAATAATCGAATATATATAGATGCAACATGTATCTGTCTATCAATCCAACGTATAGTCCTCATCGCCGGTGCCTATGACCACCAATTTACCCATCCCACCATCCGTCACTTCATCCCGGCCGCCACCAATCCAACTTCACGACATCGTTCACTACAGATAAGCCTCGTAGCTACACCATCCTTGCCGACCCTAAAAACTATTAGAAATAAATGCAGTTAGTTGAGAATCTGTGCCAAAATCTTAGAATTATAGACGGTCATTCTCTTACCTAATTATTAACATAATGAAGTCTCAAGTGCAGAAAAACAAATATGTATAGACAGTGATTTTTTATTTGAACATTTTTAGATTAAAAATCAAATAGTGTCAGGCGTAATTTCAGTAAATTACTTTTAAAATAATCGTAAAAGTTGTAGTTAAAATTTTTTACTATCTTAAAATGCCGGGAAATAAAGGTAAAAAATAAAGGAGAATATAATATGAAATTGCCGTATTCTGGCTGTGTGAAATTTGCTAAAAGCAATTTAAGAAAAACTAAAAAATTTGGCTCAAACAGAAGAAATAAAGCTTCAAGTCGTGGAGATTTCTGGAAGTCTATTGAAAATCTGAAATGTTTTAGATAAAGTTGAGTTAAATTTTAATCAAGATAATTATAAAAAAAACAAAACAAGAAATACAAATTAAAGAATTAAATGAATATAATATATAATTATAATATATAATTCAATGTTTCTGATGTGATAAGACTTTGAAAAAATAAGAAGGAATTCAAAAATCCAGACAAGTTTCAATAATGTTTAAAAGTTATTCTATCAAAAATTTTGTAATGTAATGGAAAACTGTTGGAATTTTAAATATCATCCAAAATTTTAAAATGTAATTTTTAATAACGACTTGCTCAGGAAAGACAGAGAAGAAATTTACGCTCTGCTTGAAAATTAGAGAAAAAATAAGTCAATTTGATGATGCTGGAAAATTGATATTTAGAGATTCTTATTAGGACAACATGGAGAGCCTTCAAAAGACAAAATTTATAATAAACATTAATGAGAGTATGAGAGTTGTTCTAAAAATTAATGTACATCCTCAAAAACTTAAAATTTCTAAATCAGAAAAAGTGAAAATAAAGATTACATCAGATGTCACAGAGAAAAAAAAAGCAAAAATGGACAACAGATGATTATGAACAGGTAATTTTGGCCTACCAATCGGTAAAAGTGATAAACACATAAATGTAACTCAAAATACTTATGAAATATGGAGAAATAAAAATTCTAATAGTTTTCCTAATATTATTCCGAAAAAACTATTATGAATCAAAATAAGTTAAACACTTCTGAATTAGAAAATATAACAAATGAAGTAACTCCAATGGCTTAGATTCAGGATAAATTAATTAATGCTTCAGATGATCAAAACTTAGCAACACATCAATTAACCACAGAAGATCAATCTGCAGATGATAATGGAGTTAAAAAGATGATAAAAAAAATCAACAAAAAATGCTAGAGATCCAAAACATTGATATAGACAAAAGGAAAAATCGAAAAAAATTGTTAATTTTGAACAAATTTCAAAAGATCTAGTAATAGCAAATAAAACTATAAAACGACAAGAGCATCAAGTAATTCTAATTTAGCAGAAATAAACATGATGATTTATACAATAGCATTAGTTATAGGACCACATCAACTTGATAAAACTTCACTACGGAAAAAGAAAATTCAACAAATAATCAATAATAACAGGAAAGAACTTGCACTGGTTAATGAATTCAAGAAAAGGAACATCAGTCCAAACGTGAAGAAAAAGGTAAAGTAATTGTGAAAAAATTAAAAATGACATTAGATAGACTAGATAAAGTTCAAACTATGATAATAATAAAATTGCATGCAAAAGCTCAAAAATGAGACGATATAACAAACGCATTGATCAGTTCTTTCAAAGTAAAATGTTTAATAATAATAGAAAGTTTTTTATAGAAAAATCAAAAACCAGAAGCAAGAAATAAAAGATCCCCCCATCTTTGATAGACAGTTTCTATCAATCAATCTTCGTTTAGCGTCCAGAGACCCAGTTTTCCGAGGTAGGACATTGTTTTCTTTGCCATCAACTTTTTGTGCGAAAATAGGCGTTCAGTTGTATCTATTTTATTTAAATTTAGAGCTTTCATGTTTGTTTGCAACCAGGACTTCTTTGGACGGTCTTTGGGACGTGTGCCATGTACTTCAACATCTGCAAAAGAAGTTATGGCACTGTTTCCACTTCGTTTGACATGACCAAACCACCGCAAACGGTGTTGCCGGCATTCGTACTTTATATCATCTAAACCAGCACGACGCAGGATTTCGGTAGATTTGATGTGGTCATTCGTTGCATCCATCTGAGCATTTTCATGTCGGTTCGTTGAAGTTGTTGTTCCAGTTTAGTTGTCATTGGCCATGTTTCTGCATCATATAACAAGACCGGACGTATCACAGATTTCTAAAGTCTTGATCGTAGTGGTAGTGGGATGTCACGCCGCATCAATATAGAGGCAAGGAGATGCCATTTATTCCAGGCTGCACGTATGCGTGCTCGAACGTCAGCTTCGGCTGTTGCGGTACAATCTAGAACATCCCCTAAATATTGAAACGATGTGACTTTCTCTACTTTAATGGCTTCAAAAACATTGCTTTTTCGAATTTGTTGTTGTGGATTGATGCAAGCAGGACAAACAAAATTGGACACTTCACTTTAGATAAAGTACCAATTATTTTTAAACAATGGTTGTGACACCACTGGTTATACTGCTGACACTTGATTGAATTGTTACCTACACCAGCTTTACAAACTGAATAGTGCCATCGTCCAGTAGCTGTGGATTGGATGGGTTCACCAGTGTTCATTGCTTTGGTTTTGCTGATGTTGACTTTGAATCCATGATCGGCGAATTCCAATCTTCGAACATCTGTGCTGCATTCTGCTCAGACGTGGCTGTTAAAACGATATCATCAGCATATATTAGATTCCAAATGTCACCAGTACGTATCGGTTTTGTGATTTCTTCCATCGCAGTTATAAATAACAGTGGACTGAGAATTGAGCTTTGGTGAACTCCAACGCCGATGTCAAATGCATCTGTGTTTCCAACCGTTGTGCTGACGAGAGTCTTAGTATTCGTATACATTTCCATCACAAATCAAACAAGATATTCTGGAATGAGTTGTCGACGTAGACTCCACCCGATTGCTTCACGGGGAACTCGATCAAATGTGTGATATTTGTTGATGCGTTGCGAGGTACTTCTTTTGCAGTTACCGAAGGATGTGAATTGCATTAATTGTTGATTTCCCCGCAAGGAAACTAAATTGATAATTTCCGATTGAGATGTACGACGTTAATCTTCTCTCAATGATTTTCTCGACAATTTTCAGGGAATGTTCTAACAGACGTATACCCCGATATGATGAACAGTTCAGTGGATCACCTAGCCTTTGTATAGTCATGCGGAACTGTCATGCTATAGTTCAATTCTGTCGGCATTGAGCAATTTCTCCACACTTCACAGCAAAGTTTTAGTAACGTTTCGATACCTGCAGTACCAGATGCTTTGATAATGTTATTTGTGAGTCCAGAGAGCCCTGCTGCCTTTCCATCCTTCATAGCTTTCAGAGTTTCTGTAAGCTCCTCTACAGTGATGTCTGAAATCGGACCTTCGATGGGTGGAGCGTCAAAGTTGACATTGATGAAATTTGTTTCTTTTAACAGTCGGTTGAAGTATTCTCTCCACTGTAGCTTGATCTCATCTTGTTCAAAAACCATCTCATTTTTGTCGTTTTTGATACATGAGGCACCAACTACGTCTTTTTTCGAACGCTTTGATTGTTTTGTCATACGATACAGAACTTTAATTTGTTTACCTTTGCTTTTAGTGAGCCACTCTCTGCACTGATCTGTCCGAGCCAGTGCGACTTGACGTCTTGCATAGTTTTTCTTCTCCCCCAAAAAATTTTATGGTCATCAACAGACTTTGATTTTTGCCATTGCTTGTATGCAGCTTTTTTTTAGCTATTGCATTTTGTACACTGTCATTCCAACACCAAGTGTCCCGTTCATGCTGACGTTTTGTACCAGTTTTCTCATAAACTGTAGTTGCAGCGTTTATCAAGACGGTTTTGTATGTACTCCAATCTGTTGAAATTTTTCTCGATGAATATTGCTTTTCAGCATCCTCGTTTTGATTCTCCAAAGCATTTGTTTAGACTCATGTTTTGACAGTTCGACAAACAGGTCTGCTACAAGAAGTCTATGTTGGGCGACATTTTTGAATAGCTTTCGATGTTATTGCTTGACAGCGAAGAAATCAATTTGCGTGGCTGATGGTCCACTTTTGTATGTTATGAGATGTTCCAACCTCTTTCTAAAATATGTGTTCAGTAAACAAAACCCGTGACTTTCAGCAAACTCAAGAATTCGGTTGCCATCTTCATTCCGTTCTCCATAGCCAAAACCGCCATGTACGTTGTCAAAACCATCTGTTTTCTCTCCAACGTGGCCATTGAGATTGCCTCTAATCAGGATTGTTTCAGATTTTGGTATTGTTGAGATGGTGTGAGAGAACGCAGTCCAGAAGTCATTTTTCATCTCTTCTGATTCGCTTGTCTGTGGTGCGTATGCAGAAAAAATAATCATTTGGCAGACAGTTTCTGGAGATAGATTTTAAAAAATAATGTGGAGCATAAAAGATATGCTGACTGGATTAAAGTTATAAAAGAAAAATTTAACTACTTAGATGAAGTGAAAATGAATAGGTTTTAGCATTGAAGAAATCACTAAAGCTATTCAACAATCATCAAACTTGAAATCTCAGGATCAGTTAAAGTACAAAACTTTTGGATTAAAAAACTTCTTGCAGTATATGATGTGCTAACGCAAGTTTTAATTAAAAGACTAATTAATTAATTAAAAAATTAATTGAAGCCGCATCACTCATACCTGAATGGCTAACAGTGGGTATGACATTCCTTATGCCTAAAGGACCAGATACTAAAGACTCTAGTTAATATAGGTCAATAACGTGTTTTCCTACAATGTTTAAAATTCTCACTAGTGAATTCTCACCATCAAACAGAATATATGATTACTTGTATGTAAATGACTTATTTCCTCTAGAGCAAAAAGATGTGTAAAGTCTTCCAGTGGGTGTAAAAATCTATTATTGATAAATATGGCAATAATTCGAACAGCACTCAAAGGCCAAAAAAATTATGGATTCAAAAAATGATGACCATTTACAAAATCCCCAGTGTTGTCAGAAAATTTATTGAAGATTTTATGTTAAAATGGAAAACTAAAATGAGCCTTTACTATGATCAAGGTGTGTTGATGACAGAAACTATAAAAATTGTAAAAAAAATTTTTCAGAGAAACTCTCTTTCACCGTGGCTGTTTTGTATGTCTCTGTTTCTACTCATTCATATCTTCAGCTCGCAGAAGTTGGGATACGTAATATATAATGAATGTATAAGTCATGATCTAAAATTCTTCAGGCCTAACGATGACCCCCTCGATAATACGCTGACGATATTAAACAATTTCAGTCGTGATATTCAAATAAAATTTTGATTGGACAAATGTGCTACTCTAGTTGTTAGAGGGGGTACTGTAGTACGAAGCAGCGGTATAAATGTTGAGTTGTAGATGCAGAAGAAACGTATAGATACTTGGGAATGAAGAAAGCAGAAGGAACGCAACAGCCAATGAGGAAGGAACAATTTAAAAAAAATACTCTTGCAGGGTGAAATTGATTTTAACGACACAACTGAATGCAAAAAATAGTGATGGCTATCAACAATCTGGCAATCCCAGTCATAAACTACAGCTTTGGTAACATTGAATGGCGAAGATCAAAATTACAGCAGATTGACAGAAAAACAAAAAAAATTGCTGACTATAGGAGGAGCACATCATCCGAATGCTGATGTTGATCGACTGTATTTCAACAGAAATGAAGGGGGT